AGACGAACCTCAATAACGTAAGTTTTTATCGTTTTTTTAAAAAAAAACCATTTTCTACAACTAATTTCGAGGATGATTTACTAACAGTCGCACTTTATTTTCAGTTTTTCCTGATGATGAAAATAAACATTTTCGAAAGCTTGAAACTTAGTTAAAAGAGTACACTTATTTCACCGCTGAATAATCCCAATAAACCTCAAAGCTCCGTTTTTCTAACGTTGTCAGCAAAGACTTCTTTTCTTATATATATATATATATATATATATATATATATATATATATTATATATATATATATATATATTTATATATATATATATATATATATATATATATATATATATGTTAAAAACTATAGGGTGAGAGACCACATCCCTGTTTGAGGGCCTTTTGTTGTGGTGATTGTTTTTGTTATTTCATTACCTAACTTTATTTGCACTTGTGTTTCTTTATACAGTCTTTGTAACGTATTCACCCATTTCTTTCTATCGTGCATTCTTCTCATTGCTTCCCATAGTTGTTTCCTGGGCACGCTATCGTATGCTTTCACTAAGTTGATAAAGGTCATATGTGTTTTCAATGTTTTTTTCTTTGTTCTTTTCAATCACCTATCTCATAATGAATATATTATCTAAACATGATCTGCCTTTTCGGAATCCGGCTTGTTCTTCGCTATAATGGTCCATGTGTTTTTCTAGTTTTTCTTTTATAACTGATGAAAAGATTCTTGCTATTGAAGGCATAAATTATTTTTCGGGCGTTAATCCGAAATACGACAGGGTAAAACGATCCTACTTAACTTTGGTTGTGATATAGGTATTGGACTTTGTGATATCAGTTGCAACTTGTTTGGCAATGTAAGGTGTCGACTTCGAAACCCAACAATATCAATCAACAGAGAATTTCAATAACAGAGTTTACATGCTGTTTTGTTTTTCTTTTAGTTAAACACAGTTTGACAGAAGAACTTGTTGTTTGTTAATGTCTTCTTTTTTGTTAATCGAAGGCGGATTTTGATATCTTTTGATATCTTATCAAGACCTAAAATTTTTTAAAATCTTTCAGTTCCATAATATGTACATTATATTTTATTGAGTTTTGTCTGACTAACTGCTACCAGTTCTAGGGCATTCAAATAGAAATTCTGTTAAGTTTTTTCATGTTTCATGTAAATGAGTCAATTGAGTCAATTTGCAGCAGGTAATTGGTTATTTACTTGACCAAATACTTCGTGATATCATCTATGACGCTTTCTATAATGTTTTTGTTGTCAATTAATTATATCGAAGTATGCGATTAATTGCGAAGTATTTCGTTCAAAGAATATTAAGGTGGCCGTTTAAAATTACTGCTTTTTGTGATTAGTTGATAACCAACCTGTCTTTAAAATGTATCAACTAGGTTAAAATGGAAGATAGAAACAATTGTTTTTATGATTTGTATATTAAATAAAATATTTGTGTTGTTTGGTTGTATTTTCTAATATAATGTGAGTTTCATTAATAGGAATTTCTTCATGTATGTCTTCGCAAGTTCCATTTCTCTATCATGTTTCTGTTGTTGCTCTTTTCTCCTCTTTTTCTACATGAAGCCGTTGACCTGCTACTAATTTTGTTCTTTCTTATTCATTCTTCTTATTCTTATACTTTATTATTTATATTTTTCTTCTTAAATTGACTATCTTCCTTTAAAAATGCAGGATACCGTATTCTACGGATAATACCTGTATACGGCTTTTTTATTGAAAAAATAAAACATAGTTGTTTGGGTATAACAAATATTAAAACTAGATTTTATTCCTGTTATTATGATTCTTTTATTTACCATTTAAATTATATAATATTTAAAAATTATTGTATTTTTATAGACCTATTTAGTTTAGTCCTAACTTACCCCTACTATTCAATAGAGTTTTGGCCTACTCGTACTTCTATTCCCACAGGTTGTGACATAAGGATTCTTCTAGGAGGGTTGTTCTGCGGTGATCTTGCCAGATGTCCTGCCCATCTTAGTCTTTCTATTTTTATGGAGATACTACGTCTTTACCACCAAATATATATTTATATCTGTGATATATCTCATAGTTGTACCTCCTTCTCCAAACACCATTTTCACAGATGCCACCCAATATTCTTCGCAGCATCTTTCGTTCAAATCTAAGTAGGAGGTTTTCATCTGCTTTAGAAATGGTCCATGTCTCCGATCCATATGTCAACACTGGTTGTATAAGGGTTTTGTATATGGTTATATTTGTTTTTTGGCTTAAGTTTCTGCTTGTCATATGCCTACTCGATCCAAAATAGCATTTGTTTGCTAGGATTATTCTTCGCTTGATTTCTTTCGTCATGATGTTCTCCTTGGTGATCAGGGAGCCTAAGTATGTGAATTTGTTCACAACTTCAAAGGTAGAGTTATCAACAGTGAATTGGTGGCCGATGTTTCTGGCTCTATTGTTGGGTGTTGATGCCATTATCTTAGTTTTCTCCTTCATTTACTTGCATGCCCATATTTTTTGAGGCATTTGACAAGGTGGTATACATTTCTTCTAGTTTGCGTGTTGTGCGGGCAACTAGGTCAACATCATCTGCATATGCCAAAATTTGGGATGATTTATTAAAAATGTTTCCTCTGTGTCTATTTGGGCATCCTGACTCCTTTTCAGAGCTATGTTAAAAGGAGACACGCCAGCGCATCTCCCTGTCGCAGCACAACATGCGTTTCAAATGCCTGTGATTGTTCGCCCTGTATTTCGACTTTGCAAACAACTTTACGCATTGTAGCCTTAACCAATCTTATCAGTTTATCGGGGATGTGAAATTCATCCATGGCTTCATACAATTTATTTCTTAGGACACTATCATAGGCCGATTTAAAATCTACGAAAAGATGGTATGTGTCGATATTGAATTCATTGGTTTTTTCCAGTATTTGCCTTAGCACAAAGATCTGGTCTGTTGTTGATCGACCAGGCCTAAAACCACTTTGATATTCGCCAAGAAGCTCCTCTGAATATGCACTCAGGCGATATATCAAATATTTTGTATGCTGTATTAAGGAGGGTTATTCCCCTATAGTTTCTACATTTCAATTGATCACCCTTTTTGTGTAGCGGGCAAAAGATCCCAATACACCATTCTTCAGGGATTTATTCCTCATTCCAGGCTTCTCAGTATGATTTTATATATATGGTTAGTAAGAGTAGCACCTCCACATTTAATAAGTTCCGCGGGTATCCATCACTTCCTGGAGATTTACTATTTTTTAGATGTTTTATTGCATTCCGCACTTGAATTGATGGAGGCTCCAATGGTGTATTGTTGCTTGCTCCTGGGGATGGTTGATTTGGATCTTCTACTTCGATAGTAAGTAGTTCTTTATAGTGTTTCACCCACCTTTTCAATACTTCTTCTTTTGTATTGAGTATATGCCCTCCTCATCCTTACATAGTCCGATCCTTGGTTTAAATTCTTCTCTTGCATTATTCAGATTTTTATAGGATTTACTTGTTTGGTTTTCCTTTTTTAATGTCTTAAGTTCTTCCAGAGACTATATTTACCAGTGTGCGGTAGATATATTTCTTCCCTTCCGATTTTTGCGTTCAGATTATCGATTACTATTTTAATGTTATTTCAAGAACAATTGTCATATGTTCGTTTTAATTCATCATAGAAATTGTCTCTTTCTTCGTCTTCCTTGTCCTCTGTTGGGGCATGTACATTAATAAGGCCAATATTAAAAAACTTGCCCCTGATCCTTAAGCAGCTCATTCGCGGATTTATCGGCTTAAAATCTATAACCAAGTGCTTGACTTTATTATTGACTATAAAGGCTGTCCCAAATTCATGTCTGGTTCTATGGCAACTGTAGTATATATTACAGTTTGCTTTTTGAATTATGCCATGGCCTGTCCATCGTACTTCTTGTATTGCAGTAATATCAGCATTATATTGTGCTAATATGTCACACAGTTTGCGGATGTTTCCAGGTTCATTAAGTGTGCGAACGTTCCAGGTAAATACATTAAGATCATTATTTCCATTATTCAGGTCCTTATTTCGTTTATTGTTTTGTAGGACTTAAGTTTCCTAATAAATATTTTTAAATTAGTTTTAGAGTACATGTTGTTGAATCAACCAATGAACAGTCATATAAGACAGAATGGTAATCAGGCCTGGCTAAATATTTTGTGCTGTGTAACAACTGTGTAATTTTTGTACATCCGAAGTAACCTAGTGCACTGTTGCAAAGTTTTCCTGATAGTTTAAAACACCAAATATATAGGATTTTCCTTAGAAATGTAGATATGGTTTAAAGCTACACCCATAGCGGGTCTAACTTTGAACCATGCCAAAAAATGTTTTTTCTTAATTATACTTGCTACCGTTGCAATTTTTTAATACAAAATCATAATATAATATAAAAGGACAACTAAGGAGGTCAATGTAAAAATAAATCAAGAAAATATTTAAAAACTGGATTAAAGTTACCCCGAATGACTTTAATGGCGGTATCTCTTTTTCTCTCGATTGTAAACATTTTGTTGTTCTGCGTCAATAGTACAATTTTTTTCCAGGCTGATCTATAACTCGCACCCCGAACTAATAGCGTTTACGTGATTTACGTGAAAATTTTGATTTTTCGCCCGCATGCAGTGCACGAACTGCACACCTGCTAGGATAGGCCCTGGATGCGGGTATATTTGTATAAATAAACAAAAATTCTCAACTTAGAATGACACAAAAACAAATAAAGCATTTTTGTAACACGGAAATAAAAAATTATTTGTAAACACCATTCTATTTTTAAATTCAAAAAACGAAACCTTCCTAAATAAAACCTTATGTATATAAAGTAATCCTTTAAAAAATAAACAATTTAATTTTATATAGGATTTTCGAAAACAGTCACTTTATCTTAAAAAACACGTTTTTAGTATAAATATGTTATAACAACAATTGGAATGTCACTCTGGCTATCATCTCCAAGCGAATACTATCAAAAATGAAATACATCTACATATACTTCATTTTCGCTTACCTCTACTTCTTTGTTGATGCCGATCAGGTCCAATTAGGAGGTAAGAATACATTTTTAAATAATATTGTCGCCATTATATGACAAGAGATCGTCGGTTTTTTGTATTCTCCTTAGTTCTATCTTTTTTCAAATAAAAAGCTTTATAAGATTAAACACTTATCCTTTCTAATGATTTTTCAAGGTTTTTTTCTTTACTGGACTGTTCTTAAAAATGATTCTTTGCCTGTATTCTGTCACTGATATTTTTTCTGTTGAGGTGACTGTTTTCTACTTACTTATTTGCTTTTTGCTACATTTTTGGTTGAACATAAATTTAATGTGTTATTTAGAAATCGAAATATCGAAACGTATAAACGGATTTTCAACGAAAATTGCCAGTCTTCTTCAGATAGATTTCTTGCTGACATTGCTTTGAAATTCCTTGCATTCATCTTGTTGGTGGTCGTCCTCGATTTCTTTTCTCTAGTGGTACCCATTCTAATATTTTTTTTTTGGTAGTCTTTCTTCCCCATACGTCTAACATGTCCGTACCATGTTAGTTGTTGTTTTTCGATGTCTTCTATAATTGATCTTTGTACATTCAATTGATTCCTTATGTCCTCATCTCTCACATGTTCTAATTTAGACTTTCCTTTCCTTTGGAGCTCTCCTTCCAAAAATCCATTTCAACTGCCAATAGGTTACCTTTAAGTTTTTGTGATAACTGCCATACTTCTGAGCCATAGACGATTACTGGTTTCAATATGATATTATATATTCTTTTTTTCATTTCCGGTCTTATATTTTTCTGCCATAGTACTGAATTTAATGCACCTGTAACTCGTTTGCCTTTGGTTATTCTTCTCTTTTATGGTTTTCATCCCCGATAGAAAGCCCCATCCCTTTACACTTCTTTTTCCAGTGCCTGGGTACTTCGTCAAATAACTTCATAACCAACTTTTTTTCTTATTTTTGCCATTTTCCATCGACTGCTGTTATTAAAAGTTGTAAGAATATTTTTCTCTTCATTACTACGGAGTTTTTTATTTTCACTTTCTCGATGGGACTAACTGAATATTTTTTGTGAAAATACAGCATTCATCATTGTAAGGATTTTTATTAATTATAAATCTGGTATTTTAATATGAACTTGATAAATTTCTTTGTGAGTTTTCTATGGATTTCAGAGTAAAACAACGATACTACTAATACAATTTAATTTTTTCGTCTTCTCTTTCATTCTTTAATTTTTGAATGATATATAACATTCAAGCGAAATTATATACATTTAAAAGTTGTTCTTTTTGTTATTTTAGCTGGTACCTCAAAATGTGAATGTCAAGACAGCATAAATGCAATCCAGGCCGCATTGAACCAGAGCTGCACCCAGTTGACAAGCATCAGAGCAACAATCATAAGAATCAGGCAAGAAATCGACGAAATTGAAAGCGATCTCTGCATCAATGACGATAAAATCAATTCGATCAACGGCAACGTGACCGTATTGGAGGATCTCGTCAACAATAACTACGAGCAAGTAAGCACCGAGGGCTTAATTATCAACGACATCGATTTTAGAAGTAAAGAAATCCGCATCGAACTTGAAGAAGTTGATGATCTTATTACAGAAAACGATGTTGAAATCCAGCAAATCAATAGTACTCTTCTTGATTTACAAGCGTGTGCTTGTACTCCCAGAACAACACCAGCAGAACAATCAACCACTCCTTACTATTTCCATCATTAAAAAAATTGTTAAAATATCTTTCTGTGAATAAATTTTGTTTACGTACTTACATATATGTAATTTTATTTTATTTGACTACAAATATGCAGAGTGCGATTTGCCTAAATATAGCCTAGAACAGGGATGGCCAACTTGCGACACACGTGCCACTCTGTGGCACGATTGCAAAAAAATTAAAACTTGAAAAACAAAAAATAATAAGAAGAAACTTGGTAGGTTTACGGAAGTTACGATAGATGCGGCATCATTGCATCCTCTGACGAGCGATATTGCTGCGATTGGTGCACGTGATCCTAGCTGTCGTAATGTGCAATAGGTAGGACTGCGTTACCCTTGCTTAGTTTATTTTAAACTGCCCCGTTGTATATGCACATTTTGTCGTCGCGCATTGTTTCTTTAAAATTTTAAAAGTATTTGTTCGATATGTCCACGAGTAAGCCTTCGACTTCAAAACGAAAATACGAAGATGATATTGCAATTCCCGATTTTCAACCTGCTTGGGAAGAACAATTTTTATTTACTAATCGTAATACTTCAAAGCCTGTTTGTTTGATATGTGGATTGTCTGTAGCAGTTCCAAAAAAATTTAACCTGGAACGACATTATAAACAACTGTATAAGGACTTCAGCAACAAATATTCTATTAGTTCACATTTGCGAACCGACTTTATTGAAAAAAAAAGAAAACCCTAGCCAGCCAACAGTCACTGTTTCAGAAGAGAAGTGATGAAATGGAAACTATGGTTAAAACATCATATGAACTTTCTCTGCTGTTAGCCCGGAAGAAAAAAGCCTACTCTGATGGAGAGGATATTATTAAAAATAGTCTGGCAATATTTACTAAAAATGTGGGAGATGTAAAGATCAAAAATATGGTCGATAATATTGCATTATCCCGAAATACAGTCATGCGCCGTATAGATGATATGGGCCAGGATGTTGTTTCCCAAATTATAAGTGGATTACAATCCTGCAAATTCTTTTCTTTAGCGTTGGATGAAAGTTGTGACAACACAGAAAATGCGCAGTTAAGCATTTTTGTCCGTTATACCAATAATAATTTTGAAAATGCCGAAGAGCTTCTGGATTTGCGCCAACTAGTCACAACAACAGGAGAGGACATTTTTCAACAGCTTAGAAACGTAATCGAAGTCAACAAAGTTGAATGGTCAAAATTAGATAGTGTTTGTACAGATGGAGCTCCTTGCATGGTTGGTAGACTAAAGGAGTTTGTTACAATACTGGAAAACTATTTGGGAAGAAAAGTTTTTAAGTACTATTGTATTATTCACCAGGAAGCCCTTTGTGCCAAGTACCTAAATATGTCATCTGTTGTTGACCCTGTTACACGCTGCATTAACAAAATACGAGCTCGGGCATTGAATCGACGACAATTTCGAGAACTGTTCGCGGAAGAAACAAAGCAAGATGGAGAGTTACTTTTGGTAAGGATCAAGATGGAAGGTTTTGGAACTTGAAGGAGTGCGTCTTAAAATATTTGCAAGAAAACAATGAACTACCCAGTGAGTGCTCGTTACTTAATGATAAAGATTGGCTTTGGGATTTAGCTTTTCTCACTGATATTATGAGACATTTAAATCTATTAAATTTAAGATTACAGGAAAAAATTGTATTTTTCCTACTCTAGTTGGTCATATATCTTCTTTTGTGAATAAACTTATGCTTTTTTGTAACGATTTTGGAGAACAGAGATTGACACATTTCACATTAATGCAGGAATTAGCCAACAAGGTCAGTAGAACTAAAAATTATGACAGATTTAAAAACCTTATATCTATTGCTAGGTTCATTCAATACCCGGTTTAAAGATTTTCAAAAAGACACAATGAATGTTGACCTTTTCATAAATCCTTTTTCTATTTCTCTGCAAGATATCAATTGTTACTCAGCTGAAATACAGATCGAAATTATTGATTTACAGAACCACACTATACGAAAAACCAAATGTAGGGAAATTATTTCAACTGTTACTGATCCCAATTATATTGAATTTTGGAAAATTATACCAGCAAAATTTTCCTAATTTACACGAGTTAGCTCTGAGATATTGTTGTAGATTTGGTTCAACGTACGTTTGTGAGCAAATGTTCTCTATTATGAACATAATAAAATCAAAATATCGGTCACGATTAACTGACATGCATTTAAAAAATCTAATTCTGTTGGCCATTTCCGAAGTCAATCCCAATATAGATGAATTAATTAAAAAAATACAAGTTCAAATACCACATTAAATAAGTAACTGTTTAATAATTTGAATTTTAGATAATAAAAATATTTAAGTTTTTTTGTTTAACGTTTTTATTTTATTTTTATTAAATATAAAGAAAGTTTGTTGTTATGTTTTACTTATTACGTTATTTTTAAACCTCCACTATCTTGACTAAACGGAAAAATGTGAAATTTACATAAGAAATACATATTGTACCGTATATTATTAATATATAGTATCCATATTAGTATGTCGAAAAATTTTAGTGGCACGCCAAATTTTTTTTGTTCTCATATTGGCACTCGACTTAAAAAGATTGGCCACCCCTGGCGTAGAATAATATATATTTTTTTAAGTGCCTTATCCTCGGACATAAATAATATCGTGGTGCTTACTTTATACCGCTAGCGGAAGTTCTTGAGTCACCTGTAAAACTGCTCCATCCATCACCCTGTGGATCCATGATATCCTCAACAACGCAATAACAGCATTCTTAAGAAAATTCTTAGTGCTCTGTTGGTTAATATTCTGCTATTTGCTCTATTCTGCTGTGGAGCGACTTTACAAGAGAAATGTACCAAAGGAAGCTAGCACAGAAGATACAGCTGAAACAACAAAGATGTAGCAACAGAAGCTCTAGGAAAACATACAGTCATACTGAACAAAAGAAACAACAACAATACGTCATGGTTCAGAAAAGAAATAGAAGGAAAATGTAAAGGGAAACGCGAGACCTACACGAAGTACGATACATCAAATACTGTAGAAACCCAAGACACCTATAGAAGAATACAAAATGAAAGAAAGCAGTTGGAAACAAGAACAAAAAATGAACACTGGGAACAGTTTTCAAAGTGGATGAAAATCGACTACTACAGTACACAAGAACAAATATGAAGATTTATAAGAAACCATCGAAAAGAAATGGCAAAATTGAAGGAATACAATAACACACCAGCAAACGAATGGAAAAGATACCTGACGGAACTGTTTAAAGGAAAGTAAAATAATAATCAACACAATACCATACCTGAATTAAGACACGAAATAGAAATCAGTTTTCGGGAAGTAAAGATAGCTATAAATTCACTCAAAAATAGAAAGTCACCAGAACCAGAAGGAATAATTAACGAGCTTCTACAACACAGAATAGAAAGTATAACACTAGAGTTGACAAAACCTATACAAAAATTAATATTGCACTCCAAGATACCAGACGCTTGGAGAAACAGCATGATGATACCAATGTTCAAGCGCAGCACTTAAGTTTACCACAAAAGACCTAACCAACAAAACCAATAAATTCAAAACTATATCAGATGAACAACAACGATTCAGATCCGAAAGATCCTGCGTAGACGCCGTATTTGTGCTGAGTTAAAGACATATCACAGAAAATGCCATCGATTACAATAAACCAGCATATCTATGTTTTATAGACTTGACAAAGGCTTTCGAAAGCATGAAAGTCGAAGACATCTTACACCTACTGTATAAAAGAAACGTACCAATCAATATTATACAAACCATCGAAAACGTCTACTTACATAATCAAATATAGGCAAAGATAAATGGAAAACTAACACAGTGTATACCAGATCAAAGAGAAGTCAGACAGGGTGACTCGTTAAGCCCACTTCTCTTTAATAATGAACGAAATAATACAAGCAGTACGTAAATGTCATGGTATCAGAATGGGAAACAAAGAAATCCAAATATTATGTTATGCAGACTACGCAGCATTAATCGCTGAGACAGAAGACGAGCTCCAAATAATAACACACATCTCCAATTCAACAGGTAATAAATGCAATATGATAATATCAGCAAAAAAGTCAAATGTATGACAATATCTAAACACCCACTACTATGTAAAATCGAAATTGATGGGAAAATAATGAAGCAGGAATAAGGGTCCAGATATCTGTGAATAGATATCTGGACAAAAAAACTTAAAAGCAAGTAAAGCGACGGGATATCTTAATGATACAATCTGAAAGAACAAACACCTTAGACAAGACACAAAAACAAGAATCTATAAAGAAGCAATTAGACCAATATTACCACACATGACGGAGACAAGACCTAACACATTTAAAATGAGATGACTACTAGAAACAACACATATGAAAATATTACGACGAATGTCAAAGAAAAGTCTCTTGGAAAGGGAGAGAAGTTATAACATATGAAGAGCATGCAGACATTATTAGAATGGCAGAGGATAGAATAGTACGAATAGTACGAGATAAGACATTACTAGAATGGCAGAGGATAGAATAGTACGAATAGTACGAGATAAGTCACCAAATAGACGAAGAAGTATTGGCAGACCAAAAAAAGGATGGTTCGATAATTTAAACAATTTAAAATACTTATATTGAAGAAGAAACAGGTTTTGAAGCCTACATATAAGAAGAAAGAAGAAGAAGAAGAACAAGAAGAATTTCCTGAGAAAATTCTCGATTCGATATTCACTGGCAAAGCACACATTTTGCTCGTCTCCAAATATTATAAAATTTGAGTAGTTGTTATTAGTTATTAATGGTAGTGTTTTGTATTAAAAAACAGAGAAAATTTATCTGTAAGTCGAACATTAATCTCTAAGTCATCTTTTATTTTTATAATTGGATGCCCCGACAATTGAATTTAAATATCACTATAGTCAGAATCCAGAAATCTAGGCAGTAAATTCTTGGAAGTAATAGTGACGGTTCATCGCTATTGTAGGTCTTCCAATGGCGTACGAAAAATGTCATAAGAAGTT